AAAAGGGCCCCAGAACCCACACACAGGGAGGCAGGGGTCACCTAAAAAAAGAGGAAATCAGAAATGAGAACACACTCGGCATGAAATATAAGAAGAATACAGAAAATTGTATCCTATCATTTGCATCAGTTAACGTCTTATCAGTGTTGTCCCACTTTCCCCTCCTGCATTATGGCATAGAGAAACAGGCAAATTATGTTCAGTGAACTGTACAAAGGAAAATAATTACAAATAAATTTAATACATAGGGAAACTTGAGCACAAGATTACAGCGTAACAATGATAACAATTCAAATGTAGTCTATCTGCCTGTAGGTGTTTCCACTCCAGACTGCTCCCTGATGGTTTGACCTCCAAGAGTCCCATCTTGGATAGCATTTAAACAGAACACATCCCAGGGACCTTAGGCAAACTCCTAAGTAATTATACTTGTAAATAGGGCACCAGTAACGGCAAGTACTACTCTGGAGTATCTTGTTTCTCAAAGCATGTAAGGATGTGCGCAAATAAGGGGTAAGGATGTGCACAAATTAAGGGTAAGGATGTGCACAAATACGGCCAAATAGCTGAATACGGCCAGAAGATCCAGAAAACTGTCACTCAAATCACGCGAGAGGCACAAAACAAATATTTTAAACCATGACACTGGGCTGCAACCCGGTAAAAGTGAAGAAGACAATAGAAATAGATGTGCACAAATCAGGGGTAAGGATGTGCACAAATCTGGGGTAAGGATGTGCACAAATCTGGGGTAAGGATGTGCACAAATCAGCAGTTTCACTATAAGATAACATTATTCTCCACAATTTACCATTTTCTGGTAAGCATTAATTAAAACAGGAGTCACAAGTCCAAGACATTATCTGCATAATGTAGCTGCCTTACATAAATTAGGGATAAGGATGTGCACAAATCAGGGGTAGGGATGTGCACAAATCAGGGGAAGGATGTGCACAAATCAGGGGAAGGATGTGCACAAATCAGGGGTAGGATGTGCACAAATCAGGGTAAGGATGTGCACAAATCAGGGGTAAGGATGTGCATAAATCAGGGGTAAAGATGTGCACAAATCAGGGGTAAGTATGTGCACAAATCAGAGGTAAGGATGTGCACAAATCAGGGGTAATGATGTGCACAAATCAGGGGTAAAGATGTGCACAAATCAGGGGTAAGGATGTGCACAAATCAGGGGTAAGGATGTGCACAAATCAGGGGTAAATGTGCACAAATCAGGGGTAAGGAATAAATCAGGGGTAAAGATGTGCACAAATCAGGGGTAAGGATGTGCACAAATCAGGGGTAAGGATGTGCCCAAATCAGGGGTAAGGATGTGCACAAATCAGGGGTAAGGATGTGCACAAATCAGGGGTAAGGATGTGCACAAATCAGGGGTAAGGATGTGCACAAATCAGGGGTAAGGATGTGCACAAATCTGGGGTAAGGATGTGCATAACTCAGCAGTTTCACTATAAGATAACATTATTCTCCACAATTTACCATTTTCTGGTAAGCATTAATTAAAACAGGAGTCACAAGTCCAAGACATTATCTGTATACTGTAGCTGCCTTACACTTTGTTCAACCAGAGCTAAAAAATAAGAAAAACAACGACAACAACAACAACAACATGAAGTAGAGAGAACCCTTTTCATCCCACCTTTGATAGCTACCTTTACTTCACAGGATATTTCCTGGTAATCCTTTAGGCTGAGTCTATACTAGCAGAGGCAGATCAAAAGAAATGAAGATCTAAGAAAGAAAACCGAGCCTCCAAAATGCAAAATCAAAGTGAATGGAAAAAACATCAAGCAAGTTGATATGTTTAAATACTTGGTTACCCTGATAACTTTAGATGGAAGATGTATTCAAGAAGTTAAATGTAGAAAAGCCAAGGAAAGGCAGCATTTTACTGAATGAAGAATATTTCTGCAATATTTCTTTGCCAACTGAGACGAAAAAGAGAATTCTTAAAAGTTATATAAATCCTGCCCGGCTCTCTAGCGTAGTTGGCTAAACCGGATTGCGCAGTGACCGGGTGACGAACTCCTTGTGGCCCGGTTCACTCCCGTGGGTAGGCAGAAAAGCCACATTTCTCCCAGATTTGCGGTATTTACAATGGAATCAAGGTCGAAAGGTTGCGATATCCATAATACCGAGCCTAAGGGTTAACAACTCATGGCTTCTGGATACTAAAACAAACAAACAAACATAAATCCTATCTTGATACATGGAAATAAATCCTGGCCAGTTGGTAGATGAGTGAAAAATTATTTGGAAGCTGCGGAGATGTGGTTTTATAGATGAATAAGAATATCCTGAACAGATAAAAAGGGTAATAAAAATGTCTTGAAAGGAACACTCATGAAGAGAACTGACTGCCCACATCAGAATCTACATTCTTTGGTCATGTGATGAGAAGGACAAAACTGGAGGACATAGTGACAGTAGGAAAGTTGGGAGGGGGAGGAGAGGCAGAGGGAGACCGAGAGAAACGATGCTGGAAAGTCTGGCATCGTGGCATGGAGGATCATCTGTGTCAAAGTTGACTGAAAGTACCCGAGACAGAAGGTTGTGGATATACACGACTACCAAAGTCACACGGCACAGACTTTAAGAAGAAGAAGACAGCAACAAAGAAGAATATCATTAAAAAAAACTGACACATGACAAAAAGAACTTACATTTGTGGAGAGACAGAAGGATATAATGAGGCCATAAATAGGTATAATGTAAGGGGTTGATGGACTGACTGAACTGGGGAACTCGCATGTGAACACAAAGTCAGAGGGAATTGCTGACTAATGAGGCATTCTGTGACAGGATGCCAGAGAGTTTGGAGTGAAAATCGATCCTGAGTGAAACGAAGTGAACATTCATCCTGAATGAAGTGGCTGTAGTAGAGCCACGTTGAAATGTATCTGATGACAATGGAAGTGTCCTACTGAATGCTGACTGTGCTATCCATGTGCAGGTCTGTGTCGACTGTGGTGTGGCTGTAAACCCAAAGGTGTGAGCAAGTGAACCTTGCCTGGATGGTGTAAGTGAGGTTGTTATGTTGATTCTGTCACTGATGTGTTAGTGAATGACACTGAATAAACCTGGAACTGACGATAACCATCATCGACTGTCATTTGGAAAAGTGTGGTATTCTGCTGGGAGATAAATCTGCCTCGTCTACCCTGTGGATCTAAACCCCTAGACAAGAACCTGGATCGATTGTGTGCAAGCGAAAGTAAGTAAGAGAGAGACCCAGTACTAAAGGAGTAAAGACTTCCAGTACAACATCTTCACAAAAAGAAAATGGGCTCCAAGGTAGGTAATGATAATGATAGTTTTTAGTATCCACAATAGGCAACAGATCTTGGGGGGAGGATTCAGACCCTTGAGGCTCCCCTACCCCAAATTTTTAAAAGGTCCTTCCCCCAATAATTTTATAATGTAATTAAGAGTATAGAAATTTTCTTTGAAAGCATCTGTAAATACATTTTACACCATATTTCAAGCATTTTATATTTATTTTGCACATTAATAATAATAATAATAACAATACTAACCCTTTGAGCCCCAGGGGGTTTAGCATCAGAGGCCCATGTGGTAGTCAAGAAAGACGTAAAATCAGCTTATCTTGCGTTCATGGGGCCTCTAGATTGGAACCTATGAACGTATAATAAGTTCCTTGGGACTCAAAGAGCTAAGTACAGTTAGGGACTATTTCCGACACCCTTGGGCGTTTTGAGTATACAGCGACCTATATTTTATAAGTCAATTGGTACTCGGTGGGTGATTATCAACATGACTTCGGCCGCCTTTACTTTCCAGAATTTCGCCGGCACCCATTTTAGGCTCGGTCAACAAGACAGTCAAGGTCATTAAAAAAAAAAAAATCCGAACTGATGTGGATTTGAATCCACACACTTGGGGTCCAGCAGGCGAGCATACCTAGCCGCTATGCCAGGCAGCTCACAATATTAAAGGGAACAAGTTGAAATCGTAAAATTTGACCATTTTGGGTTTCCGTACATAATTCACAATTATCCTTAGTAGAAAACAGCTGTGCAAACGGGGTTTAAAAAGGAGTATGTTTTAAAGCTCTATTTCTGCATTTGCTGAAGCATGTATAACTTATTTATCAGAGTTTTAAAGCTCATTACATATGCAAAAACTGTTTCTCCACTTGTAGTTGACTTAGAGACTTCATTTAAGTTGTAAATTGTTCCGTTGTACGAGGCCTATACAATCATTTTGTATGGCTCAGAGCATAAAAGACAAATTTTTATTGGTCCGTTTATTGAGGAAATGCTTTGTTCAGCCAATCAGAGCACTTGTCTCATACAAAAACCTACGTCACTAGCAGACGCCATCAGCAATTTGTTGTTATGCGCTGAAGACACGTTTAAGGTTGAAACAACAAACAGTGTAATCATGGGTAAAAGAAAGGTCAACAGAGGCGATAGACCAAGAAAATGTAAATCAGTTCTGAGAAACAGGAACAAGAAGCTGGAAGTGATGACATTAGTGGTTTTGATATAAACCGACCATCTAGGTCTGCTTCTAAAATCAAACTAGGGCCTCAAACCTCACAGACTGAGTTTGATAAAGCAGATGAGCTCAGTGGTTTCCGATTTGTTGACGTTCAGCTTCTAATTAACTTTGTAAATACTTTAATGTGCTGTCAGTGTAGACAACCTCTAGGCGAGAATAAGTCTTATGTAACTGAAGAAAGAAGCTCGCTTGCCTCAAAGTTCACTTTCCACTGTCAGTGTCAACATGAAGTTTCATTTATGTCCTCTGCAAAATGTGGGAAGACTTACGAAGTCAACAGAAGGTACATACTTGCTCTCTTTGCTATAAGAAGGAACTATATGCATGGCAAGAAATTTCTTGGCAATATGAACATGCCAACAAGTATGCATTAGAGCAGTTAGTCTCTTCATAAGAAGAAAATTCTCCATGCTACAGAGACTGTTGCACGCACAAGTATGCAGAGAGTTGCAGCTGAGATCAAGGAAAAGAAAGGAGAAGCCATAACAATCTCCTGTGATGGCACATGGCAGAGAAGGGGGTTCCACAGCAAAAATGGTGTGGTCACTCTTCTCACTGTGGATGGGCCTAACTCAAAAGTTCTTGGCACTGAGGTTCTCAGTAATTATTGCAACCCGTGTGCAAAACATAAGAAGACTAAAACTGAGGCTGAGTTACAGGCATGGAAGCTGTCTCATGCTCAGAATTGTGATAAGAATCACAGTGGATCTGCAGGTAGCATGGAGCCCACTGGAGCATTGGAAATGTTCAGGCAAAGTGAGCAGTTGTATGGTCTGCGCTATGTTTATTTTCTTGGAGATGGAGACAGTAAATCATACACATCAGTTGCAAATGCAGAACCACCTGTGTATACACTGATGTGGGTATTACAAAACTAGAATGTTGTGGGCATGTGCAGAAGAGAATGAGGCGACACCTTACAAATAAAGTCAATGAGCTGAAGAAGGAGACGTTTATGCACAATGGCAAGAGTGTTCGGGGAATTGGTGGGAGGGGTTGTTTGACAAAAAAAGTCAATTCTAAAGATTCAAAGACACTACGGTGCTGCTATTCGAAGAAACACCAACAATGTGCCTCAGATGTGAAAAGAAATCTGGGCCATATGGCAGCACAGAAACCGTGACCATATCAACTGTGGAGATTGGTGCCCTTCAAAAAATCAGCCTGCAGCAGATCCTAACAGAAATGCTTTCCCTCCCTATGTGTGTGAGGCCATCAGACCTGTCTTTGAAACACTCACCAGTGAGACCTTACTGTCAAATTGTGCTCATGGAGGGACACAAAACACAAATGAGAGTTTTCATAATTCCATTTGGCAAAGATGCCCAAAGACTGGTTTTGTTGGAAGGCCTAGACTAACTCTTGCAGTTTACGATGCTACTGTGGTTTTTAATGATGGTGAGAAGGGTAGGATACCTATATTTGAGAATCTAGGGATGCCTAGTGGACTCTATACCAGACTTTGTTTCAGTGTGCTGGATAGAACAAGAATAAACTCATCAGCTACAAGATTATCACCGAGTGTACGGCAAGCGCGGAGAATACTGGCTGTCATGCATGACAAAGACAAAGAGGATTATTACCTTGCTGGTGCCCACGAGTAGTCTAGGTTAATTTTACTTCCTAGTTCACATCTTGGGACATCACACAAATTATATAAATAGCTTATGTGTCAGATATGATGGACTGACTGACATTTTAAATATGTTAAAACTTTCAAGGCCGTTTTCTCAGAAACATGTTTTCGCACATGTGTGTTACTGATGTCAGGATAATTTCAAAACTATTGAGCCAAATTACATAAAATTTGGAGGATATGCTCTTCAGTAGATTTTGTTTGAAATGTGCCATTTTTAATGGCCCCTCACTTGTGGTCATCTTTTAACTTGAGTTATAATTTTATTAAACTTTTTGAAAATTTTGGACATCAATATAAGAAAACCTAACACAGATACAGAGATGACAAAGGTTCAGATTAAAGCTTAACTATATCTGAGCAGCTACACAAACTTTCAGCTGCATACATTGAAAAGTTTTTTATCAGGACTGACATCTCTACTGCAACAAATTTACTCATCACCGAAATATGTACCTTAATCAAATGGAAATAAGCATAAAATATAACTTTATTTTTCTTTGATTTATTGTTTGTATGATAGATAAGGAAGGTCCTTACAAAATTTCATAAAGATCTGACCATATTTAGATATCTTTAACCATTGGCAAAAACTTGCATAATTTATGATTTTCCAGCTTGTTCCCTCTCCTTAAGGCTAACAATACTAATCTGCTGGATGTCCATTTTTGCCTAGAAAATGTGTGAGGTGAGGGAATGAGGGGAACAGCGGGTGCATGAGCCTCCCTCTCCCCCCGGGCTGTTTACTTTTCACGTGCCTGGTATCCACCCAATAGCAGTCAAACCTCAGAGTCGATCCTACTGATGGCGTATGCCAGGAAGGATGGCAAAATAATGGTTTTATGTTATACAGCCATTACACAGTCTCCAGACTTGGGAGTTTTTTGTTTGTCGGATTAAAAATTAAAACAAAAAACAACAAAAATTGTAAAATCTTTTGGTAAATCAACAGCTGCAGAAAATCGAACCCTGGCAGGTTGAGGATTGTGAATCACATTCACTATTATCTAAGCCACAAAACAATTTTACAAGTTGATTTTAAAATAATATAATAAGAAATTAGGACAATCACATTAATATAACAGGATTTTACAATAATAATCACCATTGAGTGTCCTGACGATAAGTATAGGTGGTTACGTTTTGCCATCTCACAGGATTATCAGAAACATGGATCAAGTCAGTGCTCTTGTATCCCACACAGCACCTGGCATGGAAAGGTGTCGGCATACGATTGGGGAGATAAGATGCGGAGAAGCCTGACTGTTCGTGCCAGACTACAAGACACCAATTGATCATAATGATCTTCTTCTTCTCCTTCATGTTCACTGGGTTCAAACTCCAGCGTAAAGTTATGGTTGTTTGGCCAATTCTGCACTTTTGTTCCAGAACCTGTGTGTTGCATGCATATCCATTTTTACTGGCTCGTCTGTATGCAGACTGTTGCCTCATAGGCAGATGCACTGCGACCTCGAAGGAAGTCTCTAATTAGTGGACTCCTACGACATGCTCACTAGGGAAGGAAGTGGGTCTATTTTTGTTCTTCCCACAATGGGGTCCTGGAACCCACACGGGAAGATGCCAATGAGCTGGCTTGCTGATCCCACCAGGAGACATCAAGAGTTAGACGTCATCGCTACTGCTGCTGCTGCTCAACTGCTCAAAACCTCCAGATAAACACAAGTGGACAGATTTCCGGAAAGAGATACACAGATAGACAGTGAGCGATGACGCCTGACATCCTTTCTCCATGGCAAAGTTTCAGCACATGAACTGATGATACACACTGGTAGGGAACAACAAGATGTGGAGAAACAGGACTGTTTAAGTAAATCTGCAAGAACTTGATTATGATGATGATGATGATGATGATGACGATCATGATGATGATGCGCTGGCTGATCACACACAAGGAGTTGTTTGGGACATAAGACAGCTAGTCATCATCGCTACTACTGCTGCTGCTCAACTGGTCAAGACCTCGTAATTGGCACGCTGACTTCCAGTCAATATTTCTATCCGCTGGGTGCTTCTCCATGGTGATGATTATTTTTCCTTTCACTACCTGGGGAAACAGATAAAGGGTAAGGTTGAGAGTCAGCTGTGTCTAAAAGTGTGAGGTTGAGAGTCAGCTGTGTCTAAAAGTGTTAGGTTGAGAGTCAGCTGTGTCTAAAGGGTAGGGTTGAGAGTCAGCTGTGTCTAAAGGGTAAGGTTCAGAGTCAGCTGTGTCTAAAGGGTAAGGTTCAGAGTCAGTTGTGTCTGAAGGGCGAGGTTCAGAGTCAGCTCTGTCTCATCTTCCATGTAAAATAATGCAAGAGATAAAAGGAAAAAAATACACCATAAACAGCTCAACACAACACGAACAGATAACATGTCAGGAACAGATAACATGACTTCAAAGATAACATGACCTGCACAAAAATCATGAACTTGCACAGATAACATAGCATGGACAGAAATCATGATCTGCCCAAATAACATGACCTGCACAGATAAAATGACCGGCACAGACAAAAAACATGAACAGATAACACGACCTGCACACATAACATGACCTGCACAGATAATGCGACCTGCACAGACAACATAACATGAATAGATAACATGACTTGCACAAATAACTTGACCGGCACGGATAACATGAACAGATAAAATGACCTGCACAGACAACATGACCTGCACAGACAACATAACATGAACAGATAACAGATCTGCACAGATAACATGACCTGCACAGATAACGCGACCTGCACAGACAACATAACATGAATAGATAACACGACCTGCACAGACAACATAACATGTCTTGCACAGATAACTTGACCTGTACAGATAACATGAACAGATAACATGACCTGCACAGATAATGTGACCTGCACAGACAACATAACATGTCTTGCACAGATAACTTGACCTGCACAGATAACATGAACAGATAACATGACCTGCACAGATAACAGGACCGGCACAGACCCACAAAAAAAAACATGAACAGACAACATGACATGCACAGATAACATGACCTGCACAGATAACGTGGCCTGCACAGACAACATAACATGAACAGATAACATGATGTGCACAGATAACATGACATGAACAGATGACATGAACAATAAACTGAACAGATGACATGAACAATAAACATGACAGGAACAGATCACATAAATATATGACATGAACAGATAACATGACATGATCAGATAACATGGCATGAACTGAAAACATCAACAGATGACACGAACATATATGACATAAACAGATAAGATGACTCGAACTGATAACAAAATACCAACAGATAACATAAGCTAATTCAACACATCATAAAAAGATAACATTACATGGGCTATTTCAACACAACATAAACAGACATCTCAGGACACCATCAAAAGTCAACTGAGCATAAAATAAACAGATAACTCAAAACAACACAAACAGACGACTTACATCCCATTTTGATTCAGCTGTATCCACTCTGCCAGGAAGCTTTTTAACATAGAAATGGTGTACTGTTTTTACTTTCTTCACTTTGTCCACAAATTCTGCTCTCATATCAAACCCATAACCCCTGCACAGAAAAATATCTGGTTAGATACTGTGTAGGCAATTCGATGGCAATTAGTGATGGAGTATGAATTTGTGGGCCTTATCTCTCTCTCCCCCTCTGTGTGTGTGCGAGAGAGAGAGAGAGAGAGAGAGAGAGAGAGAGAGAGAGAGAGAGAGAGAGAGAGAGAGAGAGAGAGAGAGAGAGAGAGAGAGAGAGAGAGAGAGAGAAGAGAGAAGAGAGAGAGAGAAAAGAGAGAGAGAGAGAAAGAGAGAGAAAGATATATGCAGTTCTGCTTCTTGCTATAATGCCTTTTTTGAGATGGCAGCTGCAACAACATAATGACTCCCAAATTCTTTGTACTTGTTAGTTTTCCCCAACAACCTGCCACTTGAACAAAACTGTCAGGGTCTATCCATATCATCTCATATGTGGCTCTTACTTAGCTGAGTTTTAACATTAAAAAGACAAGATACTCATTACATCAGGTCTTATGTGGCTCTGACTTTCAAGAGTTTTAAAATAAAAATTTAAAAAGTCAGGATACTTATTACATCATGTCATATGTGGTTTTGGCTTAGATGAGTTTACACATTTAAAAAAAAAAAGCTCACTCGTTACATCATGTCATAAGTGGTTTTGACTTAGATGAGTTTAAACATTAAAAAAAAAAAAGCTCACTTGTTACATCATGTCATATGTGGTTTTGACTTAGATGAGTTTTAACACACACACACACAGCATACTTGTTTCATCATGTCATAAGTGGTTTTGGCTTAGATGAGTTTTAACGTAATAAAAAAAAAAAAAAAACCATACTTGTTACATCATGTCATAAGTGGTTTTGATGTAGATGAGTTTTAACATTAAAAAAAAAAACACAGCTCACTTGTTACATCATGTCATATGTGGTTTTGACTTAGATGAGTTAACACACACACACACACACACACACACACACACACACACACAGCATACTTGTTACATCATGTCATAAGTGGTTTTGACTCAGATGAGTTTTAATGTAAACCAAAAAAAAAAAAAGCATACTTGTTACATCATGTCATAAGTGGTTTTGACTTAGATGAGTTTTAACGTAAAAAAACAACAGCATACTTGTTACATCATGTCATATATGGCACTGTCTTTCCTGAGTTTTAACATTTGAAGAAAAAAAAACATACTTGTTATAAAAATCAAAGGAAATTCTGCCTCCTTTAGGTTGGTGTTTCTCTAAACCTGGCTCTAAACCTGGGATAAAGATCTCAACTTGGACAAGACCATTATCAAGGAATGATGAGCGAACTGAAAACAAATTAAAAAAAATTAAATCAGCAGCATTTATTGTAACGTGTCTGAACCACAATGCAGCTAATTCGGCACTGCTGTCTCTGTGTAAATGCCCCACTACTGGCAGAGGTTAAGTGACTTGTCCCTAAGAAGCCTAATAAACAGCACTGACATTTTTAGGTAGCCTAGTAACATTAAACTGATAACATTAAAATGATAACATTAAACTGATAATATTCAACTGATAACATTAAAATGATAACATTAAAATGATAACATTAAACTGATAACATTAATAATGATAACATTAAACTGATAACATTAAAATGATAATATTAAACTGATAACATTAAACTGATAACATTAATATGATAACATTAAACTGATAACATTAAAATGATAACATTAAACTGATAACATTAAACTGATAACATTAAAATGATAACATTCAACTGATAACATTATAACGATACAGAACAAATGCAATGTTTGGAGGGGACAAACATGCCAGCTTAATGCTTTTAAAGACCAAGAACTATATATCCTGAAGAGTAGTCTGCCGAGCAGGTCATTGAAGCAGAGTCCGACGGATCCCCATGTCCAGATTTATGGAAGTTAAATGAAGCGGAAACAAAACAAAAAGTCCAATAGCAATCAGCAGAAGGACAATAAAGAAACAAGGCAACAGGAGAAGATAGAAAGCAAGCAACAAAAGACAACGTGGAAGAGAAAGCAAATGCAACAAGAGACAATGAATGACAAGCAGCAGAAGACAATAGGAAAAAGAGGAATTAGGACCAAAGAATGGAGAAAAAGGAAGCAGGGGAAGAGAAAAACAAACATTAAGAAAAAGAGGATGATGAGTTGAAGAATAGGTAACTCATTTAAAACAGAAAACCTACCAGCTGGTGGACATGATTTAACTGTGTACTCTCCACTTTTGTCATCAGTCTCTTCTTCTTTTTGTGGCTTTTTCTTGAACAGATTCAACTTGTTCAGCATTTTATTACTCTCTTGTTCTTGATGACAGGCAGAAGATCAATTTGAACATTTTTTTAAAAATGTAACTTCAATGTTGTACGCATAAAAGAATCAGCTTGCATTCAGCCTGAAAGTCAGAAAATTTATAACCATGTATACTAAATTTTTACATTAAAAAAAATAAATTATTATCTATGTTAAAATACAGAGACACCTGTGTCGGGTTCCGGGGCCCTATTATAGGGAAAACAAGAACAGACCCACTGCCTACCCAAAAGCATGTCATAAGAGTCGACTAATGAGATGCAAGAAACCAGCAGTCTGTATACAAATGAGACACATCTGTAAAACGGATGCACACGCAACACTCAGGTTCTGGAACAGGACTGCAGTCCAGAAGTGGTTGAGCAGCCAGAACTTTCTGCCAGAATTTACAGTTGGTGAACGTGAAGAAGAAGAAGAATACAGAGATGATATTTTCAGAAATTCAAAACCATAAGTTCCAGCTGTGAACTTGAGAAATAAGGACGCAAATAAAACTTATTGCAACGCATAAAATAGAGAATCTAAAAACTAATGCTAAACTCAAAAGTTATTATTCTAATAAAATCAGTACAGCTGTTTGGAGCAGAAACATGGGAGAAAAACTAATAAACTACAAACATTCTTTAAGCGGTGCCTGCACAGAATAGAGGAAGATAAATGGTATGACAGAATCACTAATGTAGAGCTTTGTTTGGGAGAGAACTTCACAAGTTCCAGTGGGCCAAGAGATGAAGAAAAGATGCTGGCAATAGATAGGACACACATTGAGAAAACATGAGAACAATATAACTAGAATGTCTTTGCATTGGAACCTACAAGGCATAGACATAAATGAAGACCAAAAAACACATGGAGTAGGAGCTAGAGAGTGAAGTTTAAAAGATGGGGAGGACATGGGGAGAGCTACATGTGATAGCTAAGGATATAACGACCTGGCATGAGTGGCTGAGGGCCTATGCTCCATTGGGGGTTAGAAAGGCAGAAGAAGAAGACATTGCATAAACAAAGAGATCATGTAGTTAAACTTAAGTTTCCAGTGGTTATCACATCATTAATTTTAAAACTTCTAATGAACAGAAGGACTGTATAAATTCTTATTCTTTTTCTTAACCGACCATAAACTCCTCTTTAGGACCTGTTTCTTCTTTTAATGTTCTAGATCCTGAGTTTTGCATGCTGATTTTTTTTCTCTCTAACAGATTCAGCTTATTTGTGTGCAGACTTTGGTTCCTGGCCTCTCAGGTGCACTCCAACTTCGAAGGAAACATCCATAATGAAAAGAAACTCCCATAATTAGGCCTCTTACAACACGCTTATGAATCCCTTCAGTCCCAAACCACTCATGCGTTTTCTGGATCAGTTCAAAGATAATATAATTGACCAGCTGCCTTCTGTCACAGAAGAATATTATAGCATTCCTTACTGTTTAGATTACCAGTGTAACTTCTTATGTTCCGTAGTGTTTATGCTGAACTATTTACTGTTTTAAGCTAAAATCTTTGGGGTAGAAGGAGTTGAAGTAACAAAAGCTTAGGGTTGAAAAAGTTAATGGAGCAGTTGGTCTATTCTTACCCCCTCCAATTCCTCCCCTGGAAATTGGGCTCTAGAATCCACAGGGGCTTATTGCCCCTGAAAGGACTTTTGTGATTCATTTTATCTTGATAAAAACTGTAGTAATGAAACTTATAAATTTTATTTGCGTTATTATTTAAAGTAGTAGAGACCCAAAAAGACAAGTGTACTTCTTAATTGGTACCAATTGGTACCAGTATTTAACCATCCAAAAATAACCATTTCTGCAAAGCACCATATAGAAATAATTGCAGAGGATAGTACTTTTAGAGCAAAATTACCCCATGTAGGTTCCTCGGCTAGACTTCAGAAAATGAATATCAGACTCACTGCCTTCAACAAGAATGTCGTAAAAGTCGACTTAGTACGGGTGTTTCCTTCAAAGTAGCAGAGCATCTACCTTAGAGGCCAGGCACAAATAGTCTGCATACAAATAAGCCAGATCTGTAAAATGGATGTGCACGCAAAACTCAAGTTCTGGATTAGGACCAAAGTTCAGGAGTGGATGAACAACCATAACTTTCTGCCATACTTTACAGCTGGTTGAATGCTCAGTGTTGCATTCAGCCTGCCTGTCTCCACCTTTCTCAACGTGCTCAGTGTGTCAGTTACAATTATGACATGTGTGTACAGCTGATTCTCTGAAATACTGACATTTTAAAAGATCTCACCATCAAGGAAGATGGGATAATAAACAGCATCTTGTCTTGGAAGCGAAAATATTTTGGTCATATCAAGCACCACAGTGGACTGGAAAAAAATAATAGCAGAAGGCATGGTATCAGGAAGGAGGTCAAGGAATGGTCAAACACAAAGATGGTCAAGGGATGTAAGTAACTCCTTGAATATAAAAGTATAGGAGCCATGGTCAGCACCTGTGAACGAGCTTTGTAATGCTGGGGTGCCAGGTTCAATCCAGGCTGCAGACCTTAGGCCTTGAGTTGGTTTCGACAGTGGTATCACGAAGCCGATCGTCCAGAAAACAAAGGCAAACTACTGGAAATAAATTTGCCTAGAAAACCACAATAGCAAAAAAACAAAACAAAAACCCCAAAAAGGAGACAGGAGAGCTGGTGAGAGACCGAATATCTTTCAGGCAGATCGTGATGACAGCGACTTTCTGCAAAGTACCTGCAACACGACAACGTGTTTACTTTATCTTAGAATAATCTTCTTTCTCTACTTAAAGTATAGGTGTAAAAAAGAAAGTACTGCAGGAAATGACCGGTCACCCTAGTATTTAGTATTGCTTGCCTGCTAGGGAAGGGGCCAAGTGCTTTTAGGAATGCCCCGAGTGCTGTGATGTCGGTTCTTGAATCAACTCAACAGTATACGTATAGATACCAGCAACGATCCGGCCATATCTCTGATAATTTTTCGCGGTGGATTAGCAGTAGAAAGTAGTAACTTCTACAAAAATCTATTCAACTATTTTAACTAACCATCAGAGTGGATTTAAAGTGTTCACTGAGTTTTTCGGCGTACAGTATAGTTTGCTATTTTATAAATGATCTAGTAAATCGTGACATTTAAATAATCATATTATTATAGAGATAATTATTATTATTTCTTTCACTTTCAGACTGGAGAATCATTTGATAGCTGGCGTTCAAAAAGAGAGAGTTATTGCACTGCGTCATATGATATTGATAGCACAATGATGATAGTGATTATAGTGATACATACATGCTAACTAAGTAACAGAAATATCCTGACAAAACAGCTGTGAAATGCCCCACGGCACTGCCTGCGTGTTGAGAACGAAGTAACTATGGAGAAAACCAAACCATATCGCGTGAAATCTGATCACTGACGATCGACGTTACAAAGTCACTTCCCCCTAACCAAACACTAAACTGAACGACGGAGCAGTGCTGCCGAAGTTTGTACCAAATTTTGTACTATTTGACCCTTGATGAGCAAAAATGTTCTTGTCGTACTTCCCGTGTGTTGGTACATTTGAGGATTTTGCAACAATATGTTCAATGTCAGCATTGTGTTGAACCATTAAAAAAAAAAAAAAAAAGAAGTTATTGAGAGTTTACTGAAAATAATCATCATGTGCCGTGCCAATTAGCATAGGTTGCTATAGAGTAGAGACGTCCCAGAGACAATCAGACTCTGTAGAATAGTCATCATCATATACCCTGCCAACTGGCGTAGGCGCTCATGCATCTCCAGAGATCTAAGTAGTAATTTGTTGACATGATTTATTAAGTTAATTGTACGAAATTTTTCACATTCAATTGCTCCTGGTCTTTTGGGTAACGCAATAAATACAGATTTAATCATGTCACTTGGTACGTACCCAGTGTTATAAATGTAATTAATCGGTTTAGTTAATATTTCTACCCCAAAATAAGCTAGATGCAATTGACGATGCAAACGTACCATTTTACGCACTAGCTACCGTGTGCTTTTTTTTTCAGATTTAAAGTCCAGAATAGGAATGTGGGCCCAGACAATTGTCAGATGGTTCTATTTCGTGTCTTCTAACATTCCAGTTTATTTGTTGCTCGAGCTTTTCTGATTCAGTTTTATATGGAATGTGTTGTGATATTTTCTTAATAAATTCAGTTTTATATATAAATAATATAGCTAAAAATATTTGCGTGTTTTAAAACCGTTTTTCGTTTTTTTTTTTTAAATAAAAAAAATGGGTACCGTTTCGTGTTTTTTTTTTTTTTTAGTTTTTAAAAATTAATTTTATAAGATTCCGAGAGAAATTTCGACAGCCCTGTTGCGGAGCTAGCAACCCCAGCCGTCCAGTTCCTTCTTCACAACGCCGAAATTTCGCATTATTATAGTATCATCCGTCTGTGGCTTAGGCGTTGCGACACGATACGTATTGCCGAGGTACCGGATTCGATCATAGCTGCGGACGATATGTTGCTTTGGTTTCGACAGTGGTACCAAGAGCTGACCGTTCATGAAGCAATGGCAAACTACTGAACATAACATTTGCCCATAATCCACAACAGCCAACAAATGCTGAGGTTGGTTCTGCAACGTTCTGTAAATATACAACAACCTTTTTTTATGGTATCATCATCACCATCATCTTGCTTTAAACTTCTTTTTCTACGCGTTCACCGGCTGTAAACTCTGGCCGAAATTTCTGGTTGTTTATCCACACTGGAGTCTTGTTTATAAGCCTGAGGGTTGTCAGGATATTTTTGAAACATTACTACTACTACCGCCTGAGTATTGCGCGCACATCCGTTTTACATCTCTGATTTATTTGTACACAGACTGCGTTTCCTGGCTCCATTGTGGGGGAACAAAAATAGACACACTGCCTCCAGAACAAGCATGTGGTCGGAATTGACTAGCTGGGGGGCATTCTTCGAACTCAGAGTACATCTGCCTAAGAGGCCACGAACCAAGACCCTGCATACAAATAA